CAGAATCTGATATCTATAATGAAGTAAGCAACATTTTACAATAGAATGATAGAACCATTTGGGTTGGAAGGGATTTTAAAACCTCATTTAGTTCCAACCCCCCTACCATGGGCAGGGACACCTTCCACTACACCAGGCTGCGCAAAGCCCCATCTAACCTGGCCTTGAACACTTTCATAGATGGGGCAGCCACAACTGCCCTGGGCAAATTGTTCCAGTGATTCACATCTCCCACAGTAAAGAATTTCTTCCTAATATCTTGTCCTGGTTTCAGCTGGGATAGAGTTAGTTTTCTTCCTAGTAGTTGGTACAGTGCTATGTTTTGGCTTTAGTCTGAGAATAATGCTGATAACACACCAATGGTTTAGTAGTTGCTAAGTAATGCTTACCTTGATCAAGGACTTTTTCAGTCTCATGCTCTGCCAGTGAGGAGGGGCACAAGAAGCTGTGAGGGATCAGAGATAGGACACCTGACCCAAACAAGCCAAAGGGGTATTCCATGCCACAGCATGTCATGCCCAGTATATAAAGTGGGGGAAGTTACCTGGAAGGGACTGATTACTGCTTGAGTCAGGCTAGGTATCAGTCAGTGGGTGTTAATTGCATTGTGCATAGAATCACAGAACCAAATACTTAGGGCTGGAAAGTACCTTAAGATTATCTAGTACCAATCTCCCTGCCATGGGCAGGGACACCTAACCCTATACTGTGTCACCCAAGGCTCTGTCCAACCTGGCCTTGAACACTGCTAGGGATGGAGCATTCACAAACTCCTTGGGCAACCCGTTCCATTGCCTTACCACCCTCACAGAATGACTTCCTTATATCAAACCTGAACTTCCCCTGTCCTAGTTTGAAGCCATTACCCCTTGTCCTATCACTACAGTCCCTGATGAAGAGCCCTTCTCCAGCATCCTCGTAGGCACCCTTCAGATACTGGAAGGTTGCTATGAGGTCTCCATGCAGCCTTTTCTTCTCCAGGCTGAACAGCCCCAACTTTCTCAGCCTGTCTTCAGACAGGAGGTGCTTCAGCCCCCTTATCATCCTCATAGCCGTCCTCTGGACTTTCCTGTTTGTTGTCCACTGGACACTGCTGTTTGTTGTTAAACTGTTCTTATCTCAATCTGCGGGGTTTACATTCTTTTGACTCTCCTCCCCATCCCGCCCAGGGAGGGAAGAAAAGGGGGTGTGAGGAAGTGACTGCCTGGTACTGAGTTACCAGCTGGGCTTAAGCCACAATAGATGGTCCTGAGAGCATCTATACCCCACCCTCCACAGACTTCATTGAGTTTGCTGGCTGATTTCACTCGAAATTAAATCCCCTTGAAGTACACACCAGACTTCCTCATCTTCACAGCCTGTTTAATTTGTTCAAAGGCTTGTTGTTCCTCAGCCCCAATTGAAATTGTTCTTCTTCCAGGTCACGTGATAGAGAGGGCTTACAATCAGACTGTAGTTTGGGATGTGTATTCTCAAGAACCACACAACACTTAAGAAAGCTTGTGTTTCTTTCTTATTAGTTGGTGGAGACGTTGCTGTTATTTTTTTTATCACATCTGTGGGGTCTGACAATGTCCATCCCTACATGTTATTCCCAAAAAATTATCTCCTGTGCAGGTCCCTTAACCTTGCTCTATCTAATGGCAAAACTGGCTTTCACGAGGATTTGGATTTTTATTCCCTTTCTCAAAAAAATTCTCTTCTGTATCGCCCCACACAATAATGTTGTCAATGTATTGCAGGTGTTCTGTTCACAGAAAATAAAAAGAAGGATGAGAAGAGTGTATTGATTTTATGTAACAAGATCTTGGTAGCAGGGGGGTGGACAGGGTTGGCTGAGCCAATCAGAGACTGTGGTAGCACATCTGTGATAACATACTTAAGAAGGGGAAAAAAAACTGTGGGGCAACAGCAACCAAAAAAAGAGATGAGTTAGAATATGCGAGAGAAATAGTTCGGCAGACACCAAGTTCAGTGAAGGAGGGGGAGGAGGTGCTCCAGATGCTGGAACACCCTGGTGAAGACTATGGAGATGCAGGCTGTCCCCCTGAAGACCATGGAGGTTAACAGTGAAGCAGATATCCACCTGAAGCCTGTGGGGGACCCCACAACAGAGCAGGTGGATATGCCTGAAGGAGGCTGTGACCACATGGAGAGCCTGCACTGAAAAAGGTTTTCGGGCAGGACTTGTGACCCTGTGGGGGACCAACTGGAGCAGTCTGGTACTGAAGGACCGTACCCTGGGGAAAGGATCCATGCAGGAACAAGTTCATGGAGGGCAGTCTCCTGTGGGTGGGCCCCACAGTGAAGCAAGAGAAAGGAGCAGCAGAGACAATGTGTGATGAACTGACTGCAATCCCCATTCCCCAACCCCCTGAGCTGCTGGGGGGTGGGGGGGACAGTACCTAGAGAATTTGAGAGAAGAATGGAGGGATGGGGAGGTGTTTTTAGATTTGTTCTTATTCCTCATTATCCAACTTTGGTGTTAAATGGTAAGAAATTAATTTCCCCAAGCCAAGTTTGTTTCACCTGTGACTCTAACTGGTGAATGATCTCCCTGTCCTTATCTCAACCCATGATCCTTTCATCATAGTTTCTCTGCTATGTCCATCTGAGAAGGGGGAGTGATAAGAGCATCCAGACAGGCAATTCAATAACTTCTAAAAATATTAAGAATACACATTAAAAATATTATTTGTTCAATACAGAGTCTTTACAAAAGGGGAAAGGCAAAAGGAAAGGGAATCATTCTTGCTCCATTTCAAGGACAGAGGTTTTAAGCACAAGCAACAGAATGAGTGACAGAACATTAAAGGCAAAGTTGGATTATTTTTTTTCCTTATTTCAAGGAAAAAACTGGTTGGAAGCTATGGACCAGGTTAGGAAAGCTAAATCTGGCAAGGGATGTGAAAGATAACAGGAAAGGATTCCATAATTACATTGCAAATAAAAGGCAGACTAGGGACAACATGGGCCCTCTCTGGAACCTATCAGGACTGGCTACCCTGGATTTGGAGAAGGCTGAGGTTCTTAATGACTACCTTGCCTCCATTTCACTGGCAAGTGCTCTGACCCCCCCCCCTTCCCAAGTCTTGGAAGGCAGATGCAGGAACTGTGAGAATGAAGACCTTAGGCCCACAGTAGGAGAGGATCCAGTTTGAGACCATCTTCAGAACCTCAATGAGCACAAGGCCATGGGATCTGATGAAATCCATCCGCAGGTCCTGAAGGAGCTGGCGAATGAAGTTGTCATTGTCCATCATATTTGAAAAATTATGCCATTCAGGTGAAGTTCCCAATGACTGAAAAAAGGGAAATATAACCCCTATTTTTAAGAAGGGAAAAATGGATGACCCAGGGAACTATAGACCAGTCAGTCTCACCTCTGGGCCTGGCAATATCGTGGAGCAGATTCTCCTGGAAAGCATGCTAAAGGCACATGAAAAACAACAAGGTGCTTGGTGACAGCCAGCATGGCTTCACTAAGGGGAAATCCTGCCTGACCAATTTGGTGGCCTTCTATGATGGGGCTACAGAACTGATGGACAGTGGTAGAGCAGGTGACGTCATCTACCTGGACTTGTACAAAGCATTTGACACTGTCCTACATGACATGCTTGTCTCTAAATTGGAGAGACATCAATTTGATAGATGGACCACTCGGTGGATAAAGAACTGGATGGATGGCCGCACACGAAGAGTTGTAGTCAACAGCTCAATGCCCAGTTGGAAAACAGTGGTGTCCTTCAGGGATCTGCATTAGGACTGGTCTTGTTCAACAAGAACAGTGGGATTGATTGTGCCCTCAGCAAGTTTGCCGATGACACCAACCTGTGTGGTTCGGTTGATACGCTGGAGGGAAGGAATGCCATCCAGAGAGACCTTGAAACGCTTGTGAGGTGGGCTGATGCCAACCTCATGAAGTTTAACCATGACAAGTGCAAGGTCCTACACCTGGGTCAGGGCAATCCCAGGCACAGCTACAGGTTGGTCAGAGAAGCAATTCAGGGCAGCCTTGCACAGAAGGACTTGGGGGTGTTGGTTGATGAGAAAATGAACATGAGCTGGCAGTGTGCGCTCACAACCTGGAAAGCCAACTGTATCCTGGGTTGCATCAAAAGGAGTGTGACCAGCAGGTCGAAGGAGGTGATCCTGCCCCTCTACTCTGCTCTTGTGAGACCTCACTTGGAGTACTGCGTACAGTTCTGGTGTCCTCAACATAAAAAAGACATGGAACAGTTAGAACAAGTCCAGAGGAGTGCCACGAGGATGATCAGGGGACTTGAGCACCTCCCATATGAAAACAGGCTGAGAAAATTGGGCCAAAGGGCAATGGGTTCAAACTTAAATAGGGGAAGTTTAGATTTAGATAAGGAAGAATTTTTTTACTGTGAGGGTGGTGAGGCACTGGATTGGGTTGCCCAAGAAAGATATGAATGCTCCATCCGTGGCTTTGTTCAAGGCCAGGTTGGACAGAGCCTTAGAGAACATGGTTTAGTGTGAGGTGTCTCTGCCCATGGCAGGGGGGTTGGAACTAGATGATCTTCAAGGTCCCTTCCAACCCTAACTGTTCTACAATTCTGTGATTCTAAGACACTAAAAATACTATTCTTCATTTTATCAGAGTAAATTTTCACATTCACTTTCTAGTTGTCAAGATAGGTTTTGCTTGAACTGTTTATTTGTTACAAGCTACTCCTGCAGGCAAATCCAGAGCCAATGTATTTCAAACCCTCACGAGACATTTTCATACAGAATTCTTTAATGCATAAACTTACATTTTTCTCAAAGTGGGAAAACCTTTGAAATTAGTAATGTTCTACTTCTAGACTAAGTTTCATAGTTCTGTCCATTAAACATACCTCTTCTTACAATTAATACAAACAGTATACCCAAAACAAAAATTGGAGGGGAAATGCAAGCATAGTGAACATATACTAAAATAATTTATAAATACTCCAAGAATTTCACAACTGCTTCTACCTCTTATTAAAACATACCTTATTTCATCAGTTTCTGGCACTTTGGTGTAAGGTAGAATTGCTCGAACTCTTCTTCTATCCTCCACAGGCTACAATTTTAGAGAAGAGTGCATAGATATTAATTTTACATTCACTCTAGTTCAGACTTCCTCCCCCCAGCATTATGCTATTCTGAGGCAAAAGACTGGTAATAGTCATTGTATCCCTTTGCTATTTTTAAGTTTTCAAATTGTTGAAAAAAGTAAGAGCTGGAAATGCTTATTTCCTGAAGTTACCTACAAAAGCTCTCATTTTGTTTCTAGCCTTTTGACAGTCTCTATCACATTTTCTACAAAAATCAAATTGCCAATAATGTCATTCCTATGAAAGAGTACTTTAGAACTTTCTTCTATTTAGTGGAAATTTTTGAAAGTTTAGCATTCAGAAACATTTTTATGGGGGCCTTTTTTGGGGTTTTTGGGCGGTTTTTGTTGGGATTTTTTGTTAGTTTGTTTTAATTATTGATACTGTCTTAAGGATGGTCAATTGAAAGAAACCCAGGTTTCAGTAGCTTTGGTTATTTCCAGGAGGCATATTTTGAAATCTTTGCTACAAAATAGTAATATTATTTTGAAATATTTTATTAAGTCAGTATAAAACCATAGGGCTAACTACATTACAGTGCTGATCTTTACTAGCCAAGAACCACACATTTTCTGGTTTATCTCAGTTTACATACAATGTTATTACTGTATTTGGAGAAAACTGCAGTACCTGGTATATAGCTTTCTCATTAGAGATTTTCATTTTAAAAAAAAACATTTTTTTTAATATTACTTTCTATCAGCAACAACATGCTTATATATTCTTTATATTTAACCATACATTGAGACAGCTCTAGAATTAGTGGAAGTCTACAATGCTTTTTTCATAGAAAACTATGAAAATCAAATGCAAGATTAATGATGTTAATATTTATGTAAATTACATTTAAAAAATTTACTACTTGCCTCTGGAGGTGCTACTGGAAAGAATAGTTTTTCCCCCTTTAGCAAACAAGACACATGTCTGTAATAACCAATTAAGTCTGAGAGTGATGCAAAGCGACGTCCACCAATGTAATAGTCTCCACACATGGCAATAATCCTATTAATAAAGAAAAGGAAGCTTAACAGAAGAAAATCTTTTGCAACAAAACATTTGTGTGTTATTTTGTTGGGTTTGTGATTTTTTTTTATATAAAGGATAATGTTGAGTTTTTAAAGCAGGCTATGTTCAACAAAATACAATATTACAAACTCACTCGTATACACGCACCCTCTCCCCTTAACTAATGAATAAATATTTGAAGACTGCAAAGAGATGTAGCTTAGAAAAAAGTAAGCAGATTTGCTAGAACTAGATGAAATTAAACACAAAAATGTAATTACCAGCATCCTGGACAAATTACATACTACATTAATATTTCTATCATGCAGCACACAGCTTATATGCTAGGCCTGTATAAACTTGGCAAAGTATCAATACATTTTGATAATAAATAACTGCATTTAATTATGCAGCACAGAACACTGAAATACCTTCAAAAATTACTTTTCTACAATTCGTCTGGTATCCATGCTAAAAATAAGAACTTTGTAATAATAATGTACTCAATTTTAAAGCCTGTTAATAAATAGGAAAAAATGCTTAAAAAAAAAAAAAGCATTTCAATAGTTCAACACAAAATGAAATTCTTAGAAAACTGCTCATCTTAATAACTTATGTAGTTGGGGAGGGTGTTGTAAGTTTGTTTTGGGGTTGGGCTTTTTTGCAGGGTGGTGGTGCATATTTTAGTCCTCAGATTTGTGAATGCACTTTCTCATACAAACAAAAATGTAACTACCATGTCTGTTCATATTTCTATGCAACACAAGTTCTGAAAATAGCTAGAAAAAATTGATTAAGAGAGTTAACATTTTCTCCTGGGTTCAGAAGTAGCAGTCATTTTTATGATACCTTAGTTACCAGCCTGTTCTTATCTCAACCCATGGGATTTACATTATTTTGATTCCCCCAACCCTCCGGGAGCGGGAGAAGGAAGGAGGGGGGGAGTGAGCGAACAGCTGCATGGTTGTGAGCTACCAACTGGGCTTAAACCATGACAGTTCTTTCTGGTGCCCAATGCGGAGCATGAAGGGTTGAGATAACGACAGATCTGACTGGAGTGTGCCTAATCATATTTGTGATAGGCATTAATTGTTTTAAATTAATAGTCACTTTTCAAAATGCTGATTTATGTGCTCTCAGAGTTGTTGTGCTTGGTCTCAGAGTTTCAGCATGTCATACCTTACTTAGAGCAGGTATTTGCTCTTTCAGTGTTTATCGGCTGGGGGACCTGGGCTAAGGTTACTGTTTCACTGTACTTCATGGTAATGACTTGTAATACAGTAGACTTTAGAGATGAGATTCAGAGCAGCCCTGCACAGAAGGACTTGGGGGTGTTGGTCAATAAGAAAATGAAGATGAGCGCGCAGCGTGCGCTCGCAGCCCAGAAAGCCAACCATATCCTGGGCTTCATCAAAAGGAGCATGACCAGCAGATTGAATGAGGTGATCCTGCCCCTCTACTCTGCTCTTGTGAGACCTCACTTAGAATATTGTGTGCAGTTCTGGTGTCCTCAACATCAAAAGGACATGGAACTGTTGGAACAAGTCCAGAGGAGGGCCACCACGATGATCAAGGGACTGGAGCACCTCCAGTGTGAAGATAGGCTGAGAAAGTTGGGGCTGTTCAGCCTGGAGAAGAGAAGGCTGCATGGAGACCTCATAGCAGCCTTCCAGAATCTGAAGGCGGCCTAGAAGGATACTGGAGAGGAACTCACCATTAGGGACTGTAGTGATAGGACAAGGGGTAATGGGTTAAAACTTAAACAGAGGAAATTTAGATTGGAGATAAGGAAGAAGTTCTTTACTGTAAGGGTGGTGAAGCACTGGAATAGGTTGCCCAGGGAACTTGTGAATGCTCCATCCCTGGCAGTGTTCAAGGCCAGGTTGGACAGAGCCTTGGGCGACACGGTTAATGTAAGGTGTCCCTGCCCATGGCAGGGGGGTTGGAACTAGATAATCTTAAGGTCCTTTCCAACCTTAACTATTCTATGATTCTATGATTCTAGACTCATTGATCATGAAACTTGGCTGGTATGCATTCTCAGCATGGTCATCACCTCTATACTTTGGGAGACATATAATGGAATTTCTTAACAATTACATATCTTTCTTTTCCCTTTTTTCGGAGGGTCAGTCTATGGACGAGATATTCGCTCACACCCTCTGCTCCCCTACCAGGCTATTTACAGTGGGAGAAGATTCTGGAAACATTAAAGATATTGAATATCCTATCAGTGCCCTTGAAATCAATCTCCTACTTCTGCTGAGAACCAGTTTGTCTCTGTTTTGCCTATGGCATGACCACCCTGAGAATGCCCAATCTCGTACGATCACGGAAGCTAATCAGGGTCCTCCAGCTCGGGTCTTGCTAAGGTTAAACAGTGATGTAGGAGGACCACCAACAGATTTTCCCTGAGGCTGGACAGTCATGAGTGGCAGGGTGTGTGTGGCAGTATGGGTAAGTATCTAGTCCACTGGGTCCCTATAGTGCTTTGGAATCATCAGATATGGAAGGCAGCTGTATGGAATTCTCTGCAACAAGCTGCAGAACCTGCTGAAGGAGAATGTGAATCAAGTCAGTTTGGAGGGATGAAAGCCATCCAGCTGGCCTTGGACATCTCTGAACGAGAAAAGCGGCCAGTACTTTATCTCCATACTGACTCATTGATGGTGGCAAATGCCCCATGGCGGTGGTTGCAGCAGTGGAAGCAGAGCAACTGCAACACAGAGGTAAACCCATCTGGGCTGCTGCACTGTGGCAAGATATCGCTGCCTGGGTGCAGAACCTGGTGGTGAGGGTACGCCACCTAAAGGCTCATGTACTCATGAGTCAGGCCACTGAAGAACACCAGAACAACCAACAAGGTGATAAAGCTGCTAGGATTGAAGTGGCTCAGATGGATTTAGATTGGCAATGTAAGGGTGAATTATTTTTAATCCGGTGGGCCCATGACACCTCAGGCCATCAGGGCAGAGATGCAACATATAGATGGGCTTGTGACAGAGGGGTGGACTTAAGAATAAACATTATTGCCCAGGTTCTCCATGAATGTGAAATGTGCTGCAATTACACAAGACAAGCAGTTAAAGCCTCTCTGGTATAGAGGACGATGGCTGAAGTACAAATATGGGGAGGCCTAGCAGATTGACTCCCACCGACCTACCAGGGCAAGCGCCATGTGCTTACTATGGTGGAAGCACTGTGACACACGCCACTGCCCAAAACACTATCCTTGGCCTTGAGAAACAAGTCTTGTGATGACATGGCACCCCAGAGAGAACTGAGTCGGACAGTGGGACTCATTTCTGGAACAACCTTATAGACACTTGGGCCAAAGAGCATGACACTGAGTGGGTATATCACATCCCCTATCATGTACCAGCCTCTGGGAAAATCGAATGTTACAATGGGCTGTTTAAAATTACACTGAGAGCAATGGGTGGGAAGAATTTCAAACACTGGAAAACACATTTAGCAAAAGCCACCAGGTTCGTCAACACCAGAAGATCTGCCAACAGGGCTGGCCCGGCGCAGCCCAGTCAGAACTTTTAAATATTGTAGAAGGGGATAAAGTTCCTGTGGTGCACATAAAGAATTTGCTGGGGAAGGCAGTCTGGGTTATTCCTTCTTCAAGTAAAGGCAAAACCAGTCATGGGATTGCTTTTGCTCAAGGACCTGGATATAACTGGTGAGTAATGTGGGAAGACTGGGAAGTCTGATGTGTACCTACAGGGGATTTGATTTTAAGGGAAACAGCTAATGAACTCAATTGTATGCTGCTGCCTGCTATGTAGCACTTTTATAGCCCATCAGCCAGATATCTTCACGTCACCATAGACTGACTCCAACTTCCCTATGACCATCACCCAACAGAGAATGAGACCAGATGAGCTCAGCAGTGACCAGACAAGTTCAGCAGTGACCAGACAGCAAGCAACAATCCAACACTACACACGATTGCTTCTGCCCTGAAACAGTTAAAACGGGTGGAACCTGACATTCTGGACTGGATGAACTCAGCAACTTTATAGGGATTGGTACACGGACTACTGGACCATGGACTAACATCTCTCCTGGTGTGTGTGTGGGGGGTGTGTAGGTGCATGTATATATATATATGAGACAAAAGTGATGGCATATTGAAAAATGTGGGATCTGAATATGACGTGAATAGTATGGAATAAGGGGTCGATACTGTCTTGTGTTCAGCAGTAGCAGTCATTTTTCTCCTTAGTAGCTGATGCAGTGCTGTGGTTTTGACTTTCAGGCTGGGAATAACGCTGATAACACCAATGTTTTTAGTTGTTGCTAAGTAATGTTCTCTCTGACCAAGGACTTTCTGAGTGCTCTGCCAGGGAGGAGGGGAAGCTGGGAGGAAGCAGAGACAGGACACCTGACCCAAACTAGCCAAAGAGGTATTCCATACCACAACATGTCATGCCCAGCACATAAACTGGGTTTTTTTACTCAGAAGGTGCAGATCGCTGCTCGAGTTGGGCTGTGTATCGGTCGGTGGGTGGTGAGCAATTGTATTCTTTCCCTTTGTTATTCCCCTTATCATTATTATTATTGGTGGTGGTAGTAGTAGTAGTTTTGTATTATACCTTATTTTCCTGACTGTTCTTATCTCAACCTGTGGGAGTTATATTCATTGGATTATCTTCCCATCACTTTGGGAGGAGCGGGAAGAGAAAAGGGGAGAGTGAGCAAGTGGCTATGTGGTTTTGAGTTGCTAGCTGGGCTTAAACCTCTACACATTTTTTAAAACATCTGTATTACACAAGAATCATTTGTAAAAGGAAAAAAGTACAAAGGTTGAATTAATATTTTTAACCAGACAGTCCAAAGAAACAATCATTTATGTAAATTGAGGGCATCAAAATGACCTGAATTTTTCCAGCAATGCCGAAGTTGGATAGCAGTCCTGAGTAATAACACTGCTTTAAAAATGTGAAGACCTATCTGGAAAAGCAACTTGGAGAAGTGAGAAAACACTC